CAGTGGGTTTTTTGCTGCTGTTCAGTAGGCAAACCAACCTATTTTAACGCCTGAGACATTTTTCGAAAGGTTTTGATCAGGCGCGTCGAATGGTGACCCAAAAAATCCGATCGGACGACTCAAACACCTTTGAAACGCAGGAACATGTTGGATTTAGGGGCTAAAAACGGGATTATACGCCCCTGGGAAATAGGCAATGACTCGGATCGTCATATTATGTACATCATCAAGTAGAGCGCACTATTCTTAAAAGATCGCCGTTTTGGAATCGAAAATCGGACAAAGAATCTCGAAACAGCATCGATTTTAGTAAACCGGTGCATTTTCAATTTTTCTTTAAAGTTCAGGCGCGTTGATGGACCCCTAAGAATGGTCCAAATCTTATCATATTCGTATCAAAATTCATGATTTTACACCTACTTTCAGAATCTGGACGGCGCTCCTCAATTTTTGAAACTTTTGAAAAAAGTGGACCACCCTCCCCTCCTCCCCCTCGAGTACCCGGCGTGGAATTTCTGAGGGACCCCCCTCCCCTCCCCCTGTCCACGTGCATTTCTGAAAAAATAGGAAAATTAGAAAAACGCAAGGAATAATGATTAAAACGTTAATTTAATTAAAAATAATTAACAATGGTTGGCTGAGCGATAGCGAAGCCCGTTACTCAGGTGGGGTTGAAAAGTTTTGTCTGTCTGTCTGTCTGTCTGTCTGTCTGTGTGTCTGTCTGTCTGTCAGCACTACTCCTCCTGAACGGCTCGGCCGATCTCGCTGAGATTTTGCACACTTTTTGGGTATGTCCTTGGCTCGGCACACGCGAAATTTCACTATCCTAGCTCAACTGGTTCAGTTTTTATAGCCGAAAAACACCTAAGAAACGGCGAAAATCGAGTTTTCTGCCGGCAAATATCTTCTGCCTTGAAGAAAGGGGGGTCAGGGGGGCAGAGCCCCCCAGCCCCGGCAAGTTGAAAAGTAACAAGGGTCAAGATCGTGTTATCTGTGGATGAAGCAACTCTATCTGGAATGAAGGGGGGTCTGCGGGGCGGAGCCCCCCGCAACAATTTAGAAGTAACCGACGATGGGCAAGCCATGGCCTGCCGAAGGCAGGCTAGCGCCGCAGGCCAAGGTAGGTCCGCCAGGCGCGGATTGGAGGAACAGGCAGCGAGACATCGCGAAGCCTGTTACGACAAGACGCGGTCTGGCGTAAACCTACCTTGTATTAAAACGGCAAGGCGGCAGACGGACGGGCGGGGCGGCTCGGCCGGCGCCGCCGCCCGCCAGCGCCCGTGACACATTTGGGGATCGAGCAAATCTGAGCAAGTGTCGAGGGACATGCGAGCAAATCCGAGCAAGTACCGAGCAAGTCCCGAGCAAGTCCCGAGCAAGTGCCGAGCAAATGCCGAGCAAGTCCCGAGCAAGTCCCGAGCAAAAGGTCCCACCGAGCAACGCAGCCGAGCAACGGCCCCAACCCTTACAAAAAGGCCTTCCCTGGCTCAGTAAACAGTCCGAAATGTATCAACCCATACATTTTTGGAAAGGGGAGATCATGAGGCAGATGACTAAGCATATGGCTTTGCTCATTTCTTCAATCCATTTGCCGAAACAGGCTTTGAAACTGGCGGAACATGAACTACAGCAAAGTGTGCCGTGTGTCGCCCGCACCCGTGAATGGCGGGACGGCCCGCCCCGCAGGCGCGCGCACGGCCACCGCTGTGACATAGACGCCTTGCCTCGCAGCGGCTAGGCAACCCAGCACGCGCCACCACCCCTCCTTCGTCGCTCTGCCTCGGACTCCTCTCTGCCCCCGGCTTTCGTCACCCTGTCTCTCTCGCACTCTTAGGCAACGCCCTTTGACTACGAGAGAGTCATTTCAATTTTGTCACACTCACTCCACACCCCAGTCAATGATCCCTCGTTGATCATTGCACCGTGACTTTGTTTCAGAAATAAAGACTTGTGTGTCTTGTCTCCACTTCCAGTGTAGGCCACAGGAAACCACCAGCACCTGGACACAAACTAACTTAACCAGTCTACGCTGTTAGACCACATCACAGTTGCCATTCTGAATTTTCGGGGAAAGGTCTATCTATGGTCTGTTCAATTCAATCCTTTCTTATTAAAATTATTTGCGTACTTAAATGCTCTCTGTTGTTCCTTTTGATGTCATATGCATGGTTATGCCATTCCTGGAATTATATTTCAAATAAGAACTGGGGTAGATTTCTTACAAGGTTGAGTGTTTATTAATCACAACTACATTTACCCTAGTTCTTATTTGACATATAATTCCGGGAATGACATAACCATGCATAAGACATCAAAAGGAACAACAGAGAGCATTTAAGTACACAAATTATTTTAATAAGAAAAGATTGAATTGAACAGACCATAGATAGACCTTTCCCCGAGAATTCAGAATGGCAACTGTGATGTGGTCTAACAGCGTAGACTGGTTAAGTTAGTTAGTGTCCAGGTGCTGGTGGTTTCCTGTGGCCTACACTGGAAGTGGAGACAAGACACACAAGTCTTTATTTCTGAAACAAAGTCACGGTGCAATGATCAATGAGGGATTATTGACTGGAGTGTGGAGTGAGTGTGACAAAATCGAAATGACTCTCTCGCAGTCAAAGGGCGTTGCCTAAGAGTGCGAGAGAGACATGGCGATGAATGCCGTCGCACTCGAGCTGCAAGGGCGGGCAGGCTGCAAGCGATTCCGAAGAATACTTTCGTCGCTGTCTCTCTCGCACCCCGGAGGCAGAGCGACGAGGGAGGGGTGGTAGCGGGTGTTGGGTTGCCTAGCCCAGCGGTTCCCAACCTTTTTCTGTTCGCGACCCCAAATTTGTAGCCAAAAATTTCCGCGACCTCCAGGAAAAATTTCGCGACCCCACGCGACCCCTCCTTTAGCATGCCCTTGATACAAAGTGCGATAATCCGGCTTAGTTTGGAAGCAGTATTGTCTCAAAGTTGATCAAAACGGTCACAAATGTCTGTGAAAAATCGTGTTTTGGGCCGACTTTAACACTGAAAATCTATTGGCGTGGCTTCGTGCCGCTGCAGGGGCGTGAATTGAGTGTCACGCCATTAAACGGCATGCCAGAAAAGTCACGCCAAAAATCGGCGTGACTCTGAAATTCACGCCAGTTTTTGGCGTGAATTTCTTGTCATGCCGCTGGCGTGACTTGTCTCTTAAAACGCGTTGTCATTCACGCCAAATGAGGGTGTGACTCACATGTCACGCCGTTTTTCGGCGTGAATTTCGTGTCACGCCAATTTTTGGCGTGACTTCTTGTCACGCCATAATTTGGCCGTGTGTCCGACCATTACGTTTTCAGTGAAGCATCTACTGCGTCTGATCCGAGGCGCTATTTCGTCCTCCCTTAACGGGCAATTGGTCTTTGGACCTTCCTTTTGCGTGCCTTTGTTACGGAAAGCGATTATCTGCCTTAGTTTGGTAGCAGTACTGCCGCAAAGTTGATGAAAACGATCTCAAATTTCTGTGAAAAATCGTGTTTTGGGCTGATTTTAAGCATCTACTGCGGCTGATCCGAGGCGGTATTTCGTCCTCCCTCAAGGGGGAATTGGTCTTTAAACCTTTCTTTTGCATGCCTTTGTTACGGAGTGCGATTATCTGCCTTAGTTTGGGAGCAGTATTGCCGCAAAGTTGATCAAGAAACGATTTTTTAGACATTTGTGACCGTTTTGATCAACTTTGCGGCAATACTGCTCCCAAACTAAGGCAGATGATCGCTTTCCGTAACAAAGGCACGCAAAAGGAAGGTCCAAAGACTAATTGCCCCTTGAGGGAGGACGAAATACCGCCTCGGATCAGCCGCAGTGGATGCTTAAATTCGGCCCAAAACACGATTTTCCACAGACGTTTGTGACCGTTTTGATCAACTTTGCGGCATTCAAGCAGTCACTGCGTCTGATTTGAGGCGGTATTTCATCCTCCCTCAACCGGCAATCGGTCTTTGGACCTTCCTTTAGCATGCCTTTGTTGGAGTGCGATTATCTGTCTTAGTTTGGGAGCAGTATTGCCGCAAAGTTTGTTCCCGCCAGTGCTCGGCGTGTGGGCTAGCCGGGAAACCACCGCGACCCCAGGCGACCCCAGCCACCTCGCCGCGACCCTTCGAAATTTTTTCGCGACCCCAGGGTTGCGAACCGCTGGCCTAGCCGCTGCGAGGCAAGGCATTTATGTCACAGCGGTGGCCGTGCGCGCGCCTGCGGGGCGGGCCGTCCCGCCATTCACGGGTGCGGGCGACACACGGCACACTTTGCTGTAGTTCATGTTCCGCCAGTTTCAAAGCCTGTTTCGGCAAATGGATTGAAGAAATGAGCAAAGCCACATGCTTAGTCATCTGCCTCATGATCTCCCCTTTCCAAAAATGTATGGGTTGATACATTTCGGACTGTTTGCTGAGCCAGGGAAGGCCTTTTTGTAAGGATTGGGGCCGTTGCTCGGCTGCGTTGCTCGGTGGGACCTTTTGCTCGGGACTTGCTCGGGACTTGCTCGGCATTTGCTCGGGACTTGCTCGGCACTTGCTCGGCATTTGCTCGGAACTTGCTCGGATTTGCTCGGATGTCCCTCGACACTTGCTCAGATTTGCTCGATCCCCAAATGTGTCACGGGCGCGTGGAGTAGTGACACACGACGCGGCCGAAAATACACCGCGCGGCAGTTTTACTCGGAAGTGTCAACGTGCATCGGACATGAACACCCCCTCCCCCGCCGTGGATTTTTCGGACATCCCCCCTCCTCCAAAACGGTCAACGTGGTTTGTGTACGGCCCCTTGCCGATGGCAAGCTGAAAGCGCCGCAGGCCAAGGTAGGTGTGAACGCCAGGCGTGGATTGTCGTAACTGGCGCAGCGTCGCGAAGCCTGTTACAAGACACGGTCTGGCGTACAGTTAATGCCTTCATTGTGTTTGGCTGCGAGATCCTCCCCAAACCTTCGTGAGTGACAGCACTGGACGAGGGGTGTGTTTTTTGTTAATTTAGGTATGAAATATATGTGCAATGATTTTAATTATTTTCTGAAAAACTTTCATTGTGAAATAATATGATGCAATTAAATGCTCATATAATACTTTAGATGCATAAGGGTCTGGTAATTAAATCTACACATTCTGATCAAAATTTCTACCTCAACGATACCTCAAACAATCTTTTAGGATCCGCGACGCTTAATGGTGTTCTCTTCTCCGAATAAGTGAAGGGAAAACCTTGACAAATTATTTCATTTCTCACATCCTCATAACAACTTGGCATAACCGCGGTCGATTAAGAAGACTCGAAAAAGAGCGATCTCAACTAAACCTTTAGTTTAGTGAGAGCTTAATTTGATCATAAGCTAAGGAAGGAGGAGGACCTGATGATTAAACAATGTTCGAATTACGGAATTCAGCCAAGTCACAAACACTGCAAACCAAAGTGGCGTTCAATCCACTGTCCACAAACATGCTCCACAGCTCTTCCTTCTGCACTCTGCAGCTGTTCCTGTCGTGACGGCAAAACGAACCGAACGCGGTGTGTCGGATCAGCACCATCCGCTTCAGTTTCCTCAGACCGCAGCGCCGGAGCTCCAGCGCCAAGTCAGGGCAGCCGTAGGGCTCAGTCGATGCAGCCACCAGCTGCAGGTTCTCCAGGGACTGGGCGTGCGCGCGCGCCAGGGCCAGCGCGGTCGCCAGCGGGTACACGCCGCAGCGCAACAGCCGCAGCCCCGCGGGGTTGGCGGGGAACTCCATCACCGGCAGAGGGAGGTGGTGCGAGCAGTGCAGCTCCAGGCTTTGCAGCGACGCCATCTGCACACACTAAATTTCTATGTAGCGTCTTGCGCATCAGCTTTGAACAAAAATGTATCTACGTTTCAGGGAACACGAGTTTGTGCGGAACAAAGTCGAGGGGTGACCCACTGTAAAGTAATGTGTACAATGATTGAGTGAATGTGCAAGATTTCTGGCGGTTTTGCCACACATGTTGGCTACTCACAGGCGTTTTTGCCACCTGAACGTGGAATGTGATCAAATCCACGAATGTGGAAAGCTGTTCCCCCCTCCAACAAGGTAATGAAGTGTGCGTCGTTGTGCATGAATTCGCGGGTTCAGGTGCATGCTCAATTAAGTGCAAATGCAATGCACTAAAACACTTCGAAGTGATTTAAATTAAGTGTGTGCAGTCGGCCAGAAAACCGCAGGAGATGGTCGAAATCCCGGACGCGGAATCCCGGACGCGGAATCCCGGACGCGGAATCCCGGACGCGGAATCCCGGTTGACCTTCAGAGTACTACTTAGCTTCATGGGGCTCGAACCGAACGGGAGACCTCAAACGAGGAATCCACTAATGGGGTAACACGTGTGGTTCGAGTCCTGTTTAGCGACTCTGGAGATCAAAACACGTCCAGATTTTTGACCACCTGCGCGCTCTTCTGGCCCACTGAAATCTAGTAGCTTACCGAGCGAACTTGCCGCATCTCCGTCTCCGTGACGGAGGTGAGGCACAGGGTGCGCAGTGCCGGCATGGCCGCCACCACGTCCAGGTGTCTCGCCAGGGGGCTCCGGATGTGCAGGCCCGTCAGGTGGGGCGAAGTCTGCTCCAGCACCCGCTGCACGAACTGGGGGAACGGCTGGGAAGTGCAGACGATGGAGCGCACCTGCGGAAGACTGGCTGATGATACTTGATTCACACTAAATGTTATGTACAATTTCGTACGAGACATCACAGTTTTTCGTGCACACGAATTTTGCGTACAATTTTCGTACGAAAAACTGCACATTTTCCGCCATTTTAGTACAAATTTGTGCGAAAAGTTCGTGTGCACATAAAACTGTGATGTTTTGTACAAAATTTGTACAAAACCATGTAGTGAGTTCATCGGTCAGATGACCCTTCATCACCGAGTAATGAAACAACATGTGTTAAAAAAAAGGCACGTTCCTTACAGCATTATGTCACATTCGTTTGAATGTGACGGGCTGATGCACATCAGAACGAATGAGGCACAATACTCCAAAAGAACGTGACAATTTATCACATTCGTTTCAACGCGATGTCACGTTCCTGTAATGACAGTGCGTTGATCGAACATCATGACTTCGGTGCCTACGAAATATAAACTAGTGTAATGTCCCCCCGCAAAACTGAGTACTCTGTACACGATTTCTTGGAGTGTTTCCTTCCTCGAATAAGGCTGTCGAGCTCTACCACGAAAACGGCCATACCTGTGCAAGACTGCCGTCCGCCAATGTCTTGGACATATTGTTTAGGTTTGACTCCGCAGTTATTGGCGCTAAATCCAAGCAATTGTCGCCTCCCTGTAACCCAACGAGCGAGGCCTGTAACACAGGAGAAGGGTTAGCGTCAAAGGTGCGAAAATTTCAGCTAGAATAAAAAAGAGTAATAACGGAAGGAGAATTAAATTACGTAATTTGATACAAAACAATACACTGAGAATGAAAAAGTCACCCCCACCACCTTGACACGTATTTTTGCTCTTTCTGGTTTGAGAAGTAGTGTGGTTCGATGCAGGCGTCATGGAATGGTGCGTTGACTCACCAGGGGTGCAGGCGCCAGGAGCCGGAGGTGGTACTTGCCGTCGCGGCCCATGCGGAACCACAGGCTGCCCGTGGAGCGGTCCCAGTGTACGGCCACATCGCTGTCCGCGTGCATGTGGGTGACGGTGCCGGGCCGCTGGGAGGGGCCGTCGTAGTTCCAGCCCTGCTCCCAGTCCCTGCCCCGCGCCACTCGGCAGCCCACCGCCATGGCGGCCGCCATCTCCCTGTAGGACATCTGGCGCTCCCCCTCGTTCGGGCGCTCGTGCCAGGCTGCGGCAGAACCGTTGCAAGACCGGTCAGGACAGGGCAGTGGCGAAAATACACGGAAAGACTCGATCCTGGATCTTCCAGGACCGTCCTGGTTTTCCTAAGTATTAAGCCTGGAAGAATCCTGGAAGATCCAGGACAGAGTGTTACCGTGTAGGGAGTGGAAAACTGCAAGAAAGATCTGGTCTTGGATCTGGTGCACTGTAAACAATATGTTGTGAATTTACGACGGAACTTTTTGCGAAGGTTGTCTTGAGTATGTGCCCTCAAACATGAAATTTCAATATTTTACTGAGACTACAGAAATCTCACAAGAAAAGAAGATTTTAACCAGAATTTCGCTGAGGTTTTAAATGCTATGAACATAGCACAAGCTAGTGTATGGGAATGTGATTCCACTTTATGTGCAATGCAAGAGCATTGCACTAATTGAGGTTGCACTCATAACGTTTGGATTCTCAGAGTTCGTCGATTGGACCGGGAGCCTTTCCTTGCAAAGATGGAGCTTGACTGAGACTCGAGACTTGCGTTGCATTGCAATGACTCACCCGCTGCCTGCTGCTCCTGAGGCTGTGTCTCCGGCGGTTGCTGCGTCAGGTGGCCGTCGCACCCGAGCATGCACAGCACCAGCTTGACTCCGGCGTTGTCGGCGGGCGGCACTTCGGCGCGCCACTCCACTGCACCCGCAGCGCCGCGCCGCAGCGTCACGCTGCAAACGGCTGCCGGGTCGGCCAAGTCGAGCACGAGCCTGGCCGCGGTCCGGGCCAAGTCTGCGGGCACAAAGGAAGCACTTCGTTCACTCTCATCCTTCAGTCGACATTTTAGCAATATTCATGGACGTTTGAGTGCATTAACAGAGTTTTAGGAAGGCTTTGTTGACACAAAGTTGACAACAATGTTAGTACGCTTATTGATGCGCACAAACGTCAATACGATAACTCCTATTTCAGGAACGTGACATCACGTTGAAATAAATGTGACAAAATGTCACATTCGTTTGGATCTGAATCAGCCAAGAATTAACTTGATCACATTCAAACGAACGTGACAATGCTCAAACGAACGTGACATTTTCTCACGTTCGTTTCAACGGGATGTGACGTTCCTGGAATGGGAGTGATAAGAAAAACTCAGTAGTCTGGGAGTGTTTGCGGCAGATGACCGGCTTCTAGACGCGTTTTGAGCTCCAGAGTCGCTCAGCAGGTCTCGAACGGAGTTCGTGATCCCACCGATGGATTCCTCGTTCGGAGACCAATCCATTGGTGGGGTCATGGGATCGGTTCGAGTCCCACTTAGCGCCTCTGGATCTCAAAACGCGTCTAGAATTTTGGCCGCCTCCACCAGTCTTCTGGCCCACTGCGCGTTCCGTCCCAAGGGGAAATAACTCCAGCCAAATTTGTACACAGAAACTCATCAAATATGTAAACTTTACTAAAGTTCATTAAAATTCATCAAAATTTGACTGAATTTCATCAAATTTTGACCGAAATTCATCGATTTTCGACTAAAATTCAACGAATTTTGGCTGGAAATCGAATTTTGGCTGGAGATCGAATTCTGGCTGGAAATCGAATTCTGGCTGAGATTCCTTAGATGGGTTGGTTCGTCAAAATGTGGAAATTTTAAAATCAAAGTTTAGCTCAATTACCACTTGCACGGACTTCATATCAGCAAATACCCCTTATGTAACAACAAAACACCTTCAGAGAAAGGCATGTACATGTTTTCAGTCAAAATTTTTGACTTCTTGTACCACATATAGCGCCGGAAAGGTACAAAAATGGCCGTTTTTTCGGTGTCCGAATCCCCGATTGAAACACAATGTGAAGTCTAATTCCTTATAACGCCGTTAAAACACCCAAAGTATTGTGTGCTTTCGAGAGTGGACACTTTTGTCTACATTTTAACCTAAGTCCCGAAACCCTGAGTCGATTCGTTCGTTCGTAAAGTGGAAGAAAAGTTTTGTCCGCAAATTGCGTCACTTGCTACCGGCATTTGTATTTCGCGGCTCTAAGCGTGTTTTGTGCCTGCACCGAACCAAGCGCCAACCCTATTCGGCTCCGAAATTGGTGTTAAACAAAACTGCAACGGTGGAAATACTTCTACAGGAGTATGGTAGGTTCAAAACAAGGATAATAGGTCGCTTTGCCGTAACTCGCAATCATAAACCTGCACACTAAACTTCTTACGGATACGTCCTATCTGTATTACGGACATTTTTGTGCAATTGCAATTACGGATAGATTTTGCTTGTAATACGGATGAAATCATCCGTATTACAAAGAGTTTTACGTCCGTACCATACGGATATTTTCGTCTGTATGTTACGGACGTAAATCTCTTTGTAATATGGATGATTTCATCCGTATTACAAGCAAAATCTATCCGTAATTGCAATTGCACAAAAATGTCCGTAATACAGATAGGATGTATCCGTAAGAAGTTTACTGTGTGTAATCGCCAACGCGTAATTTCGACCTCCCCCGGATAAACATTTTCAAATACTGGGACAAGGTCATGTTTGCCGCTTCATTTGACCTATTTACACCATACAGCGTCTGTTACGTACAAGCAAATTTGGTATTTCCTTGCGAAATAGATGGGTTTTACAAAGTGTAATGATGTAATCGAATGTAATCAGCCAGGACCCCGGCGTCGACGCCTTTTACTGCACTTTTGAAGCTTAAATACTTGTTTATTTCGCATCCAAGCCTATTCCATATGTTAGGATTTTTTGTTCGTCCTGATCAGACGAATCGATTTCTATAAATAGATGTCAGTTTTGTCCACTTTGAAATTCCACCCAAACCACTTGAATGTAACGAACGTCGACGCGCGTGTAACAAACGTCGACGCAAATGTAACAAACGTCGACCCAAAGTACGCTTTCAACATTTAAGCCATTTGAAACAAAACTGGAACGAATTAAGCTTTGATATTTCTTGGGGACCATTCTAGAGCCATCTTGAATGAGCCTGCAAAATTTCATCCGAAAAGCCGCACATTAAAATCTTGGAAATCCCGTGCCTCAAAATTCCCACATCTCGGCGAACCAACCCAGATGTGTACACCGAAATTCACAGCGATTTACTCTTGTTCCGCCCTTACCCGTCTGTCCCGCGGCGTCCTTGGCCTGCTGCCAGGCGGCCGCGTCCGCCTCCTGGGCGCCCTGCAGGCCCTGCAGGCCCTGCAGGCGCGCCTTGGCCGCGGTCATGCGCCGCCGCTCGAGCTGCAGCCGGTTCAGCCAGTCCTGGTTGTTGACGTCGTTGGACGCGTCGCCCATCGCCCGCAGCAGCGCGCGCACCGCCGCCTCGCCCTCGTCCAGGCCCCGCACCAGCGGCCCTGCGTCCTCCGCGCGCATCTTCTTGAGCGTGCACACCGAGTGCTCGTCCACGCACGCGTCCGTGGCCGCCTGTCCGCAGCTGCGGCACCAGAGGCGGGAAGCCACAGCCTGCACGGGCCTGCGGAAGACGGCCAAGAACAGGTTTTAAAGAATAGGGTACTTGAATTGTGGAACAGAAGTGAGTATACTCAAACACTTCCGTTCCACAATCCAGGCCATTTTGCTCGGAACCTCTACAAACTTAAGTGAGTAAGCCAAATTACTAGAGAAGGTTTTGCCATTTGAGCAAAATATACCCATGATAGCACTTAAACTAATTTAGTGTATGAATTTAAGGCTTGACAAAGCACTTTTTTCGAGCGAAGCATTTGATTTCGTCCTTATTGGTCAGTGCTGACGAACCACTTACATTTGGCACGCTTGCAGCACTGCGAAGTTGTCGGGTAATCTATCTGGGGTCACATGAAAAACCTGTTAATGAAGAACTGAGTTAGTTTGAACTGATAACATCCCATAGCAGACAAAGCCCACTCGGAATGGGTTGAGACCCGTTGCGAATGGGTCGTGACCTATTGGAGATGGGTCAAGGCCCATTGATACCCAGCTTTTTCGGTTCGGTCAAAGATCGCCTGCGAGGTGGGCAAAAATGTGGTGCAATTACACTGTAAAAAATTTGTTCGTAAATTTACAAACAAATCAGGGGTAATTTCGTTGCACGAATTATTTGTAAATATACAACGTTTTTATGTTTTTATCGATTTATGAATTATTCTTCACGCAGTAGTTTGTAAAATCACAAACTTTTTACAAGTTCCAATTTACGTGGACCGCTTTTGTTCAACATTGTCACGCTGATTAAATGAAGATAAACTTGTTTCAGCGGATTTTTTTTGTTCTATGAAACATCTTGTAGTTCTATGAAATATCTTGTAAAATGACGAAGGCATCACCCTATTTCGTAATTTTACAAGCGATTTGTGCAACGAAATTACCCATGGATTTGTTGTAATTTTAGGAAACACTTTATATTTCTGTGACCTCACTGTAGTATTATCGTCACTTTTGAGATGTATTTAGTTCGTACCATTTCATAAAGCGGTGTTCACAAACAAATTTCATACAATTAAGAAGATTTCTGTGATGAATTATCCATAAATCGGCCTTTACAAACTAATTTCATAAAATAACGAAATGTTATTGTTACTTTACAAGGAATTTGTAAAATAAAATTTCGTAAATTCACAATAATTTTTTACAGTGTAGGTAGGCAAACCCGCTACACACCAAAAGGGTAATTTGTAAACTACTGCAGCTAGGCCAAATCCGACACCACCATTGTGTCCAGCGTTGAAAGTTTGGTAAGCGGCGTCCATCTTGGTCAAAGAGAAGCTCCAGACAAAAAAAACCACTTGGTCGGCGACATCCTAGGAGCGGGCGCTTGTGGTGTTTTATCGGTTCCTTGTATGTATACGAACTGCCGAAAAGACACTTGGACGAAATCCGACACCCCCTGTGGCTTTGGTACGGGTCTAAACACCCCAAAAACAGCTGTTTTCGAGGGTTTGGGACTAGATGGGTTCTCGCAAACCGAGATCCAAAAAAGTACCCAAATGGGTCTCAGATACTCAAAAAAATGCGCTCTTTCGAATGCCGTGTCGAACGAGGCTCTACGACGTCGGGTTTGGATGCTACGGGCTCTCAAAGTTGCTCAATTTCACTATTTTTACTGAAGATTTGAGCATATCAGGGCCGTTTGAAGTAGACCATCGGCGATTTCGCTCCTCTTTGTCTTAAATGGTGCCTACCCATAGGTAAACACCCCCACAAAATTTCAGCCATGTCAGGCAATTATTAGAGGAACTGTGAACAATTTAAGTTTTGGGTCATTTTACCACTGGGCTTAGGTAGTTTTGGGTCCAGAAAAAATAATTTTTTTAGCTATCTACTTTTGATCAGCACCTCTTGAAACGCCTTTTAAACATGGTGCCTCAAAACTTTTTTCAAGGACAAACTTGTCTTTATCTCCAAGTTATGTTCCAATTACAGCTAGAAAAAGACAAGTTTGTCCTCGAAAAAAAGTTTTGAGGCACCATGTTAAAAAGGCGTTTCAAGAGGTGCTGATCAAAAGTAGATAGCTAAACTGGACCCAAAAACACCTAAGCTGTAACTCTGCGGAAGCGGCAGAACGGCGACGCAGACGCTCATTCTTACACATTTCGCATACGTTGTTCTTCTTGATTTCTTCTCAACTTCCGCTCCAGCTCTTCTCCGAAGTACTCTATTCCCAGTTAATGCGCTGTAATTAAATTCTTCTTCACGGGTCACGGGTTCATTGCTGGAGCGAACGGGTCGACCAAGATCTTTGATCGCCGTGCTGTGAGACAAACTTCAACCGAATCCCGCTTATTTTCATGTTTGGCTTTTACGTATGTCACCTCAGGACAGTATCGAGATTAGGGTTCTGACTCCGCTTGGACTTACCGGAAGCTGAAAAGAAACCAAGAACAGAGTATGCAAAATAAGGGAGAATGAACGTCTGCGTCGCCTTAATGCCGCTTCCGCAGTGTTATATTCTCATACAAGTCCGGCGTTTGTGCTCCTTGATTTTTTTCTCAACTTCTTCCGGCCCAGCTCGTCTCCGTAGTACTCCATTCCCTTCATTCTAATCACATTCTGATAGAAACTCCTAGGAGTGCCTGCTGTGCAGATCAAGAAGAACCTAAACCGGAAACTGCTGCAATATAACGCTTATTTATCGACGATTAGCGTTAATTCTGAGCCCTAAGGTTCAAGAAAACTTAATTTAATAATAAAATTTGGTTTTAATGAGGTGATGTCAGCAGGTATACAGTCCCACCAGGTATAATCCCACCAGGTATAATTCCCAACAGATATACACTATTTTATTTTATTTATCTATACGCGGATTCCCAGCAAGTATAAATCCCACCAGATATACACGTATTAATATTAGATTTTTTTGTGTCTCAGCAAGTATAATTCCCACCAGGTATACATCCCAATAGGTATAATTCTCACCAGGAATACATTAGAAGAAAAACAACTAAATGATTGATTACAATGGGGCATGATGACAGCTTCGACTCGAGCGCATTCCCTGCAGGAATTGCACTCCCAATGAAACTGCCTTCGCTAGCGGGTGGGTGATTCCGTGCGTAGGGGCCGTTTTAGCTACCTTAGAAAGTCACATAATCAATCTTGCTTGTTCGGCCAGGCACGCAACTCGCGTTTCAATCGTTATTCAAGTTGCGCTACTGTATACAGGGGCAGGAGCAACACTAGGTTCGTCCAATGTTTGTCTGTTTGCAGACGTCTTCTAAAGGAAAACGAATAAAGGTCGAACAGACGTTGCAAATTCAGCCATTAGATGAGAAGAAAATCTACCTGGGGCTTCGCGACTTTAGAAACAGAGAGGCGCTGTTCAACTAGCGTGCCGTGCAAATTTATTCCAAAGAAGGTAAATAAAATGGGTGTATATCTGCTGGGATTTATACTTGTTGGGAATCCGTGTAAATAACATTAAAATTAAATAGTGTATATCTGGTGGGAATTATACCTGGTGGGAATTATACCTGTTGGGATTATACCTGTTGGGATTATACCTGGTGGGACTGTATACCTGCTGGGGTAACCCCGTTTTAATCTGTCACAACCTCCGAAAAGGCTGATTTTTTGTACTGTTTCCGGTCAATGTGTCTCTTTTTGTTTCTGTATTGCAGGCCCTGCTAGAAGTGTCTATTGTGAGTAGAAGTGTCCTAGAAAACGACGTACTAGCGTTAAGGAATCGACATAACATACAAGTCAAAATAGGTCTCGACAGGTCAGCCGTTTCCGGTCAGAGGGCAACCCTTTCGCAAGTTCAAACACTGAAAGTTTGTTTAGGGAAGTAATCACTGCCAAGCCAGCGATAAGGTCGGCAAGTTGTTTCGAATGCCAACATTTGGGAAGCTTCAACCTGAAATCTTCATGAGCCTGCCTAATCATGGCAAGCTAGGGAGAATTTCCGGGCTAAGCTTGCCAATTTTCGGCATAAAAAACTGCTCACCCATTTTGAGGCAGGCAAACTTGTCACTAACTTTACTGCGATTACGGCGGATTTTCAAGATTTCAAACGATTTTGTGCTCAAACTTTGCTTGTGCCTGTGACCTTATTGGGTGAAAATTTCTGATTTCTAGCGATTTTGGGTGGGCGCTGTAAAGGTCACAAGATATCACTAGTGGCTTTGCTGCGAAGACAGTTACGTCTCTTGTGTGCAGCATGGCGTTGGAGTCAGCGGGATTCACTGCAGTCATGACACAGCTTGACCTCTATTTTTTAAGTTGTCATTGACACTTCCGGTTTAGCTCTTTGTCCGTCGATAAGGACCTGTTCATAACTTCAACTTCCGGTTTCTGGCTGAGATCCGGCTTCATTTCGCGCAGCGTCTGTTGTGCTTTTTCATTCCATGCTTTCCTTTCACCAGGTCACGGTAGACATTAAAGGAGCATCATCCTTCCCTGATACATCATGGCTGCTGAGCAGCAAGACAAACTACTTTCATTCAGTAAGTATGTCTGAATTTCTCGCCAATTGTGCGGTATTGTATAGGAGACTGAAGATACCTCTCAGGCTGCGTGCACTCAACGAAATAAATGGTGAATTCGTGAATGTACCGCGGGAAGAAATGTTGCCGAGAAGCTTCAGCTCATTTACGAGAATTTTTCTTGAATGTATGAAGCACCATTTAACGTTACGAAGAATCTCTGTGGATTTTTTTAACCCATTAGTTATTTAAGAATGTAATGAAGTTTCCCTCGGCAACGTTTATCTCAGAGGTACCTACTTCAGGGATAGAATACTTCGCTGGATCCACTTCGATCCCTCGAAAAACAAATGCACCGGAAGTGGGGTCGCGTCGGCCAATCAGAAGCCTCTTGTCATCAGCGCTACCACTGACGAAAGGAGGCTCCTGATTGGCCGACCCGACTTCCGGTGCATTTGTTTTTTCGAGGGATCGAAGTGGATCCAGCGAAATAGTCTATTGGTGCCTTCAATGCGTTTTACAGAAAAAGTCATGCCGTTATTTTGGCGTGACGTTATTTTTTTTATGCTTATGTACCGGCACGAAGTCGCGCCAATGGGGCATTCCGCGCCAGTTCATCCGGGACCCCAAATTTCACACCTCGGATTTGGGTTCTGGTGACTTTTTCTTGAAGTAATCATCACTAACAACAAAACCATAAAAGTTTTTCAAAATTTCAATTTGCATAGGAGATATGGCCAAAAAAAATTTCAAAATCACACATTAAAAAAAATAAAAAAATAAAAATTTTAGAATTTTTTGTTTGCTTTTTTAATGGTGTGGTGGTCTAAAATAAAGAATGAAAACCCATCTAGGGTCATACGTCTCACCACTTGGGTGAAAAAGCTGAAGAACATAAAAAAAGTTACGCGTTTTGGATTTCTCAAAAACTGCGTCTTCAGATTTCAACTAATTTTTTTTCTAAGGAAGGCCTAATGGTGCTCTAGGATGCCCCAAAATATGAGGACTGGCAATGGATAAGGATCTGAGATAAACGACATTTTGTGTTGCGATACTTCAAAAATCAGGAGATATCGACTCGTAAACTACAGTCAAGTTGATACAAAGCAGTTCTGAGACGTCAAAAAGTTGTTCGGAATTATGAGGTTTGTTTCCAGATGACATGGGAGTCCATAAGGTACATTAAGAACAGTCTTTTTATCCATTGAAATTTTGTGACACTCTTAAATACAAGGTAGGTTTACGCCAGACCGCGTCTTGTCGTAACAGGCTTCGCGATGTCTCGCTGCCTGTTCCTCCAATCCACGCCTGGCGTACCTACCTTGGCCTGCGGCGCTAGCCTGCCTGCGGCAGGCAATGGCTTGTCCGTTGTCGGTTATTTTTGGCTGAGCGATAGCGAAGCCTGTTACTCCAGTGGGGTTGGAAAGTTTTGTCTGTCTGTCTGTCTGTCTGTCGGTCTGTCGGTCTGTCTGTCCGCGCTACTCCTCCTGAACGGCTTGGCCGATCTCAATGAGATTTTGCACACTTTTTGGGTATGTCCTTGGCTCGGCACACGCGAAATTTCACCATCCTAGCTCAACTGGTTCAGTTTTTATAGGCGAAAAACACCTAAAAAACGGCGAAAAATAGAGATTTCTGCAGATAGACCTCTTCTGTCTTGGAGAAAGGGGGGTCTGGGGGGCGGAGCCCCCCAGCCTCGACAAGTTAAAACGTGACAAGGGTCAAGATCGTGTTATCTGTAGATAAAACAACTCTATTAACAATGTAGGGGGGTCTGGGGGGCGGAGCCCCCCAGCATTCAACAAGTTAAACAAGGTAGGTTTACGCCAGACCGCGTCTTGTCGTAACAGGCTTCGCGATGTCTCGCTGCCTGTTCCTCCAATCCACGCCTGGCGTACCTACCTTGGCCTGCGGCGCTAGCCTGCCTGCGGCAGGCAATGGCTTGTCCGTTGTCCGTTATTTTTTAACTTGTTGAATGCTGGGGGGCTCCGCCCCCCAGACCCCCCTGCATTGTAAATAGAGTTGTTTTATCTACAGATAACACGATCTTGACCCTTGTCACTTTTTAACTTGTCGAGGCTGGGGGGCTCCGCCCCCCAGACCCCCCTTTCTCCAAGACAGAAGTGGTCTATCTGCAGAAATCTCTATTTTTCGCCGTTTTTTAGGTGTTTTTCGCCTATAAAAACTGAACCAGTTGAGCTAGGATGGTGAAATTTCGCGTGTGCCGAGCCAAGGACATACCTAAGAAGTGTGCAAAATCTCACCGAGATCGGCCGAGCCGTTCAGGAGGAGTAGTGCGGACAGACAGACCGACAGACAGACAGACAGACCGACAGACAGACCGACAGACAGACAGACCGACAGACAGACAGACCGACAGACAGACCGACAGACAGACCGACAGACAGACCAATTCAATTCAATTCAATTCAATTCAATTCGTATTTTATTAAGAAAAACTTAAACAAGGCACTTACAGATAGAAACATTAACATAGTAATCATAAACTGCCTAAAACTAGAAAAAGACAACCCCTAAGCATGACTGCTTGTCAGGGGTGGATTTGCTGTCTTTCTGTCATAACAATCAATAAAAACAAACAAACAAAAATCTTTTACAAACAAAAAAATCTTTTACAACTTAAACTCCACCTTTTTTTGTTATTTAGATTTTTCAATTGTTTGCACTTAAAAAATATTGTTTTAATTTTGTTTTCATGGCACTTTGACTTTGTATATTCCTTAAATCTACTGGCATCTTATTTAGTATTTTTGGCACGACCACCTCTGTCAGTCTATCACCATACTTATTCATACCTATCTTATATTGGAAACTCTCATTTCTCGTTAAGTACCTATGTTGCGCTATATTTCTAAAATCTTTCTTAAAATAATTTCTTTTTAAAATTTTTAATTTGTACAAATTTCTAATGTTAAAATATTATTTGGTAATGGAACTCTTTGCTTTTTCTTCACAATCTTTACAGCTCTCTGCTGTAATGATTTAATGGGGAGCAGGTTTGTATCCGAGGCAGATCCCCACACTTCAAGCCCATAACTCATGACTGATTCAAAGAGGGCTGTATAAGCCATGTTTACTATGTTATGTGGGGAGCAGTTACTTAATTGTGATAATTTATACAGGCAACACCTCAACTTCCCTCTTAGCATTTTAACATGGCTTTTCCAGTTTAGATGTTTATCAACTATCAACCCTAAATACTTCACCGACTCCACCATTTCAATATTCATTTTGCAGGTGCAATTTACAATATTACTGTGTATACACTCAATAGAATGAAATCTTAAGTTAAGATCTCTTCTTGCAATATAAGGAGTGGATATATGCATTACTTTAGTCTTTGTTCCATTCATTATGAGATTCTTATCATGACACCATTTTTGGTACTCAGTAAACTCCTCCTGCAGTCTTGCCTCAGCTATATCTAAGTTTTTGTGCACAGAGATTATCACAGTATCATCTGCATACACAAAATATTTACATTTTTTAAAACACCGTTTTAGATCGTTTATATAAATCAAGTACAGCAGGGGACCAAGAAAACTGCCTTGTGGTACACCATACTTAAGTTTTACACAGCAGCTATCAACTCCTGCCACACTTACCTTACACATTCTGTTTTCCAGATAACTTTTAAACAGTTTGTACGCTCCTCCTCTCACACCAATATTTTCTAAGCTTTTCAATAATTTTTCATGACTAATGGAATCAAAAGCCTTAGACAAATCCACAAACATTACAACAACATGCATACCTTTGTCCAAGGACTCATTTACTATGTCAGAGAAATTTTGTAACAGATCAATGGTACTCTTTCCCTTCTGATAGGCATATTGGTGTTCATCAATCACTTTGTACTTTTTGAGGTATGAGAATAAATGTGTATACATATACAGCTCAATTGCCTTGCTTATAGTTGATAAAATGGAGACTGGTCTATAATTACTATATTCACGGGGTGATCCAGCTTTATAAATAGGCCTGATTGTGGCAATTTTGATTTCATCGCAGAAAATTCCTTTTTTTATTGAGTTATTGATTATGTTTTGTAATATTGGAGCAACTAGTTCGACATTGTCACTTAGGTGTGATACCTTAATTCCATCATCACCAGGAGATTTTTCTTTTAAAGTAAGAATAATTTTTATCACATCCTCTATTGTTGCTTCTGGTAAAAAGAAAGAGTTGGTTATTTTGTCAGTTGCATTCTTCAGCAAGAGTGTCGGACATTCATGCATAATACACTCAACCTGATCTTTGAAAGTGTTGACAAAGTTATTGGCAACCGTTTCTATTTCTAAGATACCCGCAAAATTTTTTGTAATTATGTTGTCAATATTTTCACTCATTTTGTTATTTAATACAGAGTTTACCAGTTTCCAAGTAGCCTTAATATCATTTTTACATTTTTCAAATTGCTCCTCCATATATCTTTCCTTGCTTCTTTTAATAGAATAAATTATTTTATTTCTGAGACCCTGATAAACTTGTCTCAGCTCCAGTCTCTTTAAGTAGCTTTCTTTCGAGGACACTTTCCATCTTTTGAAGGCTTTATCTCTCTCATGCATTAAGCGAACAATCTCATCAGTTATCCAAGGTTTTCTAACATGTCCATTTACTTTTCTTTCCTTCATTTTAACCCTTATAGTAGCAGACGAAAATGCTTCTCTAAGTTCTAAATAATTTTCACTTGGACTTTCCGTCATATTGTTTTTGACACTATTTAAGTTTTCCTTCCACCTCTTTTTTACAAGTATGTTTTTCATTTTGTTTTCACTTTTTCCATCTTCCTCACATTTATTTTTATTGTTCTGAAAAGAGAGCAGAGCTCCTATCATATAGTGATCACTAATTTTACATTTTATTATGGCAGGATACACATTCTTATAATTAACACTTACCGCAATATGATCAATACAGGTTTCACTTAAATGGTTTCCAGCATATTCCTCTCTGGTACATTTGTTAATACAGTGCCTGATTTTATTACTTAATAACAT